CTTCAGAGTTGACAGTACAAGTGCTATATTCCGCAGAAATACTGAGATTGACCTCTTTATGACTAAATTGATAATGAGGTACACTGTAAGCATTAATTAAGCACTGGTTGAAAAGAAAGCCATTCTAAACAATTTTATGCTCAGATCAAGCCCAATTACAGAAAATGAATAAAAAGAAATTCATACTCAACATCTACATGCATAATTCTTGCAAGTAAAGGTCTTACACTCAGGTGAGCGATATGGCCCCTGGGCCTCTTGTTATATCTCCTATACCAGCATGACATTAGTTAATTAAAATGAAATTTGATTCCTATTGTACTTTTTCACTTAGTGAATGTTATTTTGATTTTTACATGTACAAGCCAACAACGCAGTTATTGTTAAATTGTGATTATGTTTTAACAAATTAGTAAATTAATATATTTAGTATTTTGAAATAAACTAGATGCACTGTGAGCAATGAGCTCACTAAATGATACCCCCGCCTTACATATGAATATAATGGCGGTATCTATGTTTTGTTATAGGAAACCTCAAATCTGTGTCGGGTCAAAATGTAAAATAGGAGGTGCATAATGGCAATATGTAATAAAGATTTTGTAAAGTCTCATCAAATTTTATTCAGTGGTATGAGATGTAGAGGAGTTGTGGATAAGAGATGGGTAGCCCAAAGCGTAACGGACAGACAGACAGACAACCCGATTACTATATGCGCTTTTCAAGCGAGGGGTATAAGTCTACTACAGAAACTGCAGAACGTGTAAATTATAAGAAAATGTTCAGCAGTGTAATTATTGACGATGTACAAGAATAGATTCTATCATCTGAAAAGCTTTATCAAATTTGCTTCCGATCTCTTATATCATCAAGGGTAACGATTACACTTCAAATCGTTTTTAGCCATTTTATATTAGATATTTGTTTTCAAAAAAAGTTTTATTTTAATGGAGAACAAGCCTTCGATCTTTTTTTGTAAATCGATGTAGATTACCCTCCCCCTCCTCACGACCACTACATTTTTTTGTTTTGTTAATTTCCCTACTACCTGGACGAAGTGTTAGTAAAAACCCAGAATTTTCATGATTCTTTTATTATTGACAACTAGGGCAAAGGGTATATAACGTTATAGTTTTGACTTTCCTAAGCTCCATTTTAGTTGAGTCCATGCTTCTTCTCCCAAGGGAGGGATATATACTGTATTTATACCCCTGATTGAAATCCAATAGTAATCGGAATATCTGTCCGTCTGTCTGTACATCCCTCCGTCTGTCTGTTACGCTTTAGAATATCCATCTCTTATCCGCAACTCCTCTTTCAGAGAATCTTTTAAATTACTAGATAATGCCATTGTGCACCTCCTATTTACTTTATGATCCGACACATATTTTGGTTTCCCATAGCAAAACATCGACACTGACATTATATTCTTACCTATGACGAGAGGTTTGGTGGCTTCTGAATACCATGGGACACCACGAGTTATCCCGTAAAACAATACAGATAGGGCAAGAGATCTTCCAAAAGATTGATACATGTATCCGTTACATATTTTGGATTTCCCATAGCAAACCATGGACACTGCCATAATATCCATACATGTATATATTCATATGGGAGGCGGGGGTATCATTTAGTGAGCTCTTTGATCACAGTACCTCTAGCTAGTTATACATTGAGAGCAAAAAGCTTTTTTGTCTTTTTATTTTTTACTCCATAACGTTGTCCGGAAATCTGTTTACTAGTATATATGTTTAAAACTAAAATTTCAATTCATTTGTAAAAAAAAGTTGCCCTTAGGTAAAAGACCCGGCCTGAATTACATTAATATTTTGATGAAATTTTATAATTATAATTATGTAAAATAACAAAAAGTCTGTGAGCATTTTTCCTTTTCTTGTGAGTTGTGGCTCGAAATCCAAGCACATGTCTTCAATATAACTTGGCACACAAGTAGACTACACTAAGATACATAATTCTGTGTATCGGTTTTTGATTTCGACGAACGGTGTTGGCATTGTTACTAAAAATAGAAATTTCTGTGAAATTCTTTGAAAATGCTACTCCTCCTACAAATTTAGTCTGATTTCAATATAACTTGGCACACAAGTAGACAACACTAAGATACATAATTCTGTGTATCGGTTTTTGATTTCGACGAACGATGTTGGCGTTGTTACCAAAAATAGAAATTTCTGTGAAATTCTTTCAAAATGCTACTCCTCCTACATTTTTGATCTGACTTCAGTATAACTTGGCACACAAGTAGACTACACTAAGATACATAATTCTGTATATCGGTTTTTGATTTCAACGAACGGTGTTGGCGTTGTTACTAAAAATAGAAATTTCTGTGAAATTCTTTCAAAATGCTACTCCTCCTACAGTTTTGGTATGATTTCAATATAACTTGGCACACAAGTAGGCTACACTAAGGTACATAATTCTTTATATCCGTTTTTGACTTCAATGAACATTATTACCTTGGTTAATAAAAATAGCAATTTCTGTTACTCTCAAATTTGCTACTTCAAATACAGTTTTAGTCTGATTATAATATAATGTGACTTGCAAGTACACTACACTAAGAACATAAAGAGACTTATTCAAGGATCATTATTCTCCTTTTTTGCCTGTGTAAATTTTCAATTCCCAACTGCTTAAGTACTTTCCTCTTCGTTCGCTATAAGTACAAACCAGTAGAGCTTCAGTCTCGACAGAGACTTCTGGTTTAAGTAACATGGCGATACCATTGAAATTAAACACTGATAACGAGAGTTATATATCAAAGTGTAGTCTACTTGTGAGCCAGGCAAAAGTAGCCTTTGACAGCATCTTCCAGGTATTCTCATGTGCACATAAGTAACTTTTTCAGTACATGCTATGAACATCCGAGATTTTGACGCCATTTTTGTGGTAATTAAATCATAGAGATAAGATAGTGAGATGGAAATAAATGCAAATTTTCAGCAGATTTTATGGGTAAAAAATTAATTAAATCTGAATATTTAATCAAAAAATTCTGATAAGATCAGTCCTTTTCAAATTTTCGCCTCAAACTTTGTGTGTTCACACAACTAAAGATGTTCTAAGTATAAACTAGAATCAATTTATTATTAAACTTTGACAATTGCTAGCTTAAAAATTAAAGTTAAAAAACAGAACAAGATTTGTCTGTGAAACACTATGCCCCCGATGGTAACACAGTTCTGGAGTGGGACGTAGACCGAGACATACACTTGTAAGATGTTTCAGGGATTTCAAATGTAGGTCAAAGGTCATGGTCCAGGTCACATAATCAAAACTTTTTGTACCAATGGAAAGGTCTTGTTATAATGAACACTTATGTCAAATATTAAAGCTTTACTCTTGACAGCGCAATAGTTATGGGCTAGGTTAAAGTTGACAACAGAAAGATGCACAGTAGAAAAATAGACAAACAAAACAATAGGATTCAAATTTAACTTGAAATTAAAGTTGAAAACCAGAAAAAGAGCTCCAGTCTTTGTAGGCATAATCTCCTTTTAAATGCATATTTATCCACACTCGATCGTTTTTCTTCATCCTTATTATACAGGTTGTCGACCCTGTTTCATAGTTGTTCTGGTTCCTGCCAAATACATGGTTGAAGCAAACCTCGTTGCCATTCTGAATCAGCCGTGTTTGGAATGTGTTACCTGGTCCAGTAAGAATGGTCCATGTAAAGGAATAAATTTCATCATTCGGGGCTGTAAATTTTCCTGTCCGTGTATCGTAGGCATTCCCTGCATTTAATGTTACTTTTCCAAATACTACAATGGCATTTGCAGGCATATTCTGCAGAGCTTTTGGAAGTCGGGCATTAAAGGCCACGATTCCTGTAAGAGAGTTATAATTCAAGTACATAACAACATAACAGACTGTACTATTAGATGCGTGAAACCAGAAAAAGGATTTTGTATTAACATTTTTTTTCTTGTAATTAGAAGACAATTCTGGCTATGTACAGCTTGTTTTTGCTTATCCTCTTGTACAAAGTACACTAAGAAATACAACTATAAAACTTTTAGAAATTCCTTTCTAAACCTATGGGAGGAGGGGTATCATTTAGTGAACTCAGTACTCACAGTACAATGTACCTCAAAATTTTATCTGACTCGAAAACTACCAGTTCTGATTTGGGCATTTTCTAAAATGATATGTATGTGCCTAGATGCATGTCTTTCCTTGACTCAACAGGCAAGATGATTAAAAGTGACAATCAGAAAATAAAAATCAGCAAAGGATTATACAAAGAAAACAAACTTTGCAGATACATTCTTTGATTTCCCTATAATTCCAACAGTTTTCTTCGATCTAATTTTTAATTTTAGAATCCCACATCTAAATATGTAATTTAGATATTTGTATCGAACGAGAAAAAATAGTTTTCAATTATATTTTTAGGTCAATCCGTTTTTGTCCGTCGTGTGTTAAAACATTTGAACATTTTAAGCTTTTTTACTGAAACCACTGAACCAATTTCAACCAAATTTGGTATAAAGCATTTATGGGTGAAAAGGAACAAAAATTTTTAATTTTATGGTCCCCACCCCCCTGAGGCATGAGGGGTGCGGCCAAAACCACTAAAATTAATAAAATTTAAACAAAAAATTCTCCTCTACTCATGGACATCAAGCAGGCAAACTGTTGAATCAGATATGAATGTAATGAGCGTCGAGTCCTCTACCTAAATTATGAAATTCATGGCCCCAGGGTCAGGGGTTCTAGTGCTAGGGCGGGACTCTATTGATCACATAGTGAAAATGAATTAAATCTTTGAAAATCTTCTTCTCTGCTCCTGGGTATTGAACAAACTAACTATGTACAAGTACATAGTTATGATGAGAGAGAGTGCCTCTTCCAAAATTATGAATTTTATTGCCTTAATGTCAGGGGTTCTGGTATTAGGGCGGGGCTCTATTGATTATATAGGGAAAATGCATTAAATCTTTGAAAATCTTTTCCCTTCTCTGCTCCTGGGTATTGAACAAATTAACTAAATACGTAGTTATGATAAACAAGAGTGCCTCTCCCAAAATTGTGAATTTTATGGCCCCAATATCAGGGGTTCTAGTGTTGTGGCGGGGCTCTTGATTATATAGTGAAAATGCATTAAATCTTTTAAAATCCTCTGCTCCTGGGTATTAAACAAACTAAGTACATAGTTAAGAGTGCCTCCTCCAAAATTGTGAAATTCATGGCCCCAGGGTCAGGGGTTCTGGTTTTAGGGCAGGGCTCTATTGATTATACAGTGAAAATGCATTAAATCTTTGAAAATCTTCTTCTCCTCCTAGGTATTAAACAAACTAACTAAGTACATAGTTATGATGAGCAAGAGTGCCTCTTCCAAAATTTTGAATTTTATTGCCCTCGGGTCAGGGGTTCTGGTGTTAAGGCGGGGCTCTATTTATTATATTGTGAATATGCATTAAATCTTTGAAAATTTTCTTCTCTGCTCCATGGTATTGAACAAACTAATTTTCTCTGCTCCAGGATATTGAACAAACGAATTAAATACGTAGTTATTATAAGCAAGAGTGCCTCTTCCAAAATTGTGACTTTTATGGCCCCAATATTAGGGGTTCTGGTGTTTTGGCGGGGCTCTTGATTATATAGTGAAAATGCATTAAATCTTTTAAAATCCTCTGCCCCTGGGTATTAAACAAACTAAGTACATAGTTAAGAGTGCCTCTTCCTAGTTAAGAGTGCCTCTTCCAAAATTGTGAAATTCATGGCCCCAGGGTCAGGGGTCTGGTTTTAGGGCAGGGCTCTATTGATTATACAGTGAAAATGGATTAAATCTTTGAAAATCTTCTTCTCCTCCTGGGTATTAAACAAACTAACTAAGTACATAGTTATGATGAGCAAGAGTGCCTCTTCCAAAATTTTTAATTTTATTGCCCTCGGGTCAGGGGTTCTGGTGTTAAGGCGGGGCTCTTTTGATCATATATTGAAAATGCATTAATTCTTTCAAAATCTACTTATCTGCTCCTGGGTATTAAACAAACTAACTGATTACATAGTTATGATGAGCAAGAAAGCCTCTTTCAAAATTGTGAATTTTATGGCCCCAGGGTCAGGGGTTCTGGTTTTAAGGCAGGGCTCTATTGATTATACAGTAAAAATGCATTAAATTTTTGAAAATCTTCTTCTCTTCTCCTGCATGGGTTTTCAATAAACTTACTTAGTGCATAGTTATGATGAGCAAGAGTGCCTTGTCATTTGGTGTAAGGGGGGGGGGGTCCTTTGATTATATAGTGAAAATACATTAATTCTTTGTTTTCTTTGCTCCTGGGTATTATGTTAATGATCCAAGTATATATATTTATGATGGTAAGGTACATCTAGCAAAATGGTAAATTTCATGCCCCCTGGGTCAGGGGTATGGGGGGATGGGGTTACATAGTCTGAAAATAAATTAATGCTTTGAAATCTGCTCTTTGGTATTGATCAACCATTTATGATAAAAAAAAATTATAAAATTTTGAAATATGTGGCCCCAGTGTTAGCGGTTCCTTTGGGGTGGGGTGCACAACTGGATATAAAGTGGAAGTTCATTTTCTCTTTGTTATTCTGATCTACCTCAGGGTAATAAGTAAATAGAGTAAGCAAGCTTAGTATATAATTATGATAAGCAATGGTATCTCTTTCAAAACTGTGACTTTCATGGCCTTTGGTTTAAAACACGAACCGAATTCAATTGTTGGACGGTTGTTACAAGATATTCAGGTGACCTATAAGGCCTGTGGGCCTCTTGTTTTATATAAAAAGAAAAATTAATGGTTAAAAATCATAACCTTTTCTTCATTTTGTACCATAACCCTACCTTTATTTTTGGAGCAGCTTTTTTCTCGATAACCCATTCCATTGCAAATTCTGTTGTATTTATTATATTTCTCAAGGAAATTGCCGCTTTTCTTTTCTGCTTTGATAAGAACAACAACAAAACAAATAGAGATCACTAACCTCGAGCTCCAAGTCCTGTAACCAAAAAAATATCACAAATTTAGTCACCGTTCCCTGTCATATATAAATTATGCTATATGTTGCGCAATGATATAATGATAAACTTTGTTTGAAAAAAAATTGAACACTCTGAATTCGAAAAGATAGTAAAACAATTCCACCAAAAATTTATCAGGGCTGTATGCTAAAGGATCGTTTTGTGTATTACATGTATAATATACTTTATTTATTTTGATGATGTTTACTTACATATTTTCACAGAAAAGCACTTTATGTTGTTTCAGAATCAAACTCCCTTTTTTGGTTTAAGATAAAAAATTATGAACAGTCTGCATAATTTACTACCTATGTAATTTTATACAAAGTACATACACTCATTAAATGTAATATGAGCATAATACCCTTTGTAATTAAGGAATTAAATTTGAGATAAAATATAAATAAGTAAACATTTATTCGAAGGCTTCCTCTAGTAAAGAAACATTGAAAGCACACTGTCTTAAAACGTTAAAAAAAATATTTTGAATCCGCGAAATTAGATGTATTCTACAAAAATCATATTGCATGTACCATGCTTACGTTTGTTTAAACGTTCTGCTTTTATTAAATAGAAAACTTTGAATTCTAAACATATATCAAAGATTGTCTTTATGTAGGACATCTGTTTAAGTTAGTGCGCAACAAATAAAATTCAAAGGAATATAGAAGTTAAACTATTGAAGATCAAGTACTAGTAAGTTTAAAAAAAAAAACAATATGTGGCTTTGAAGTAATCTTTCTCTTTAAAATTATTTAATATAGTCAACATGTTTTGATACTAATGTTACATGTAATATAAAAAAATTCAACTTAATGAAAACCACAATTTTCAAGAATTCAGGTTTTGTTACTTAAGCTAAAATTTGGTGAAGATGTTGATGAATAAATTACCGTTTTAACTTGCAAATTATACTTATTTAATAGATTTATTTTATATCATATAAATGTTTCATGATTGTAATTTTGTTATTACTTTAACTAATTTTAACTATTACTGTAGGAAGTAAGTGAAGAACATGTACAAAATATATTAATATGAAGATTTTTTCCAAAGCAAAACAGAAAAGAACAATATAATGCAAGAAAGTAAAGATAATGTGATATGAATTTCAGAAATTAACAGAATGTTGTAGAATAAAGTATAATAGGGGATCATATTTGCATTTGTATATCTGCTGCAGGATCGATTTCAGTTTAATGTTAGTTTGAAATCTACTCTTATTTAAAACGTTGGAGACACCTGTCTTACTGCAAATACATATTTTCAAACGAATATCGAGGGTCAACGTATTGCTGCACTGAAAACGTAAGTTCGTAAATATTTTCTGACTAAATTTCCACTAAACATTTTAACTTAACCATTTTTCTTGTATAATTCTATACAGTAGCATAAACTTGTGACTTGAAATTGTTTTCTTTCTCCAAACACTTCAACCAGCAGGAAACAGATGAATTTTGTCTTAAAAGCTCTGAACGATTTCCAAATATTGAAGTCAAAAACGATAACTATAAATTCCTATATAAATATACTTAATAAATAGGGAGTTTGCCTTTTGACTATAAGTTAAATTTGGACGAACCCGACAGAAAATAAATAAACCACAAAGTTTAAGACCATTTATTTTAAAATCATACATTTGTGTTTATTCAATTTTGTTATTAATTAAAGAATTTAAGCATTTAGAAACAGTGAAGTAAATAAAACATATTGGAAACGTGTATATGTAATTATTGTACAAGGTGAATGTTTACAATTCAGGAATTCCTTATATAATGTTGATAGCCTAGGTTAAATAATGTAGTACTAGTTATAAATGAAAAATACTGAAACTGACAACAAAAATTTAAAAAATAATTAAAATTTCAACGAATATTCGACTATCGGTCGACTAAAGCCTCCGACTATTCGACTTAGTTGTCCGAATAAAATTGACATCCCTAATTTCAACTATTGCTAGTACTAGTCTAATTAATTGATTTTACAACCTACATGTAATTCAATAATTAAAAGTTGTTGCATTTACCGGTGTACCCAAATTATTATTTTTTTAATTACATACAGAGACATGTGCCTGCTTCTATTTAAAGCAATATGAGCTGCATTTTTAAAAAAAAATTGCTGATTAAATGTATTATTATGATTAATTTGTATGTTTTGTCAACCTTTATAAATAATAAAACCAAAATAAAATTTTAAATTGTTTCAAGAGATATATTTCTGTACAACCGAATATATAGTGTAGCATTATATAAGAAATCAATATTGTACAGGACAACAATAATGTAATTTTGCTTCAATCATGGCTTATAAAAAGTTCTTCCATCGCAAATATGAATAACAGAAGTTTATAAATGTACCATTTTTCTGTCATTGAAATAGTTTATAACAAATTTGCAACAAAATTTTTCCAAGTCAAATTTGCAGCTCATATTGCTTTAAATACATTTCTTGACGTATTCTGTGTATTTGATAGGTTGAATAGTACAATGAAAAAGGGGAAAAACTTTTTTATCAAGGAAAAAAAAAATATTGCTTGTTACAAAACTGTCAATGGTAATTATATCTTCCTAGGTAGATGTTGCATTCTGCAGAATAGACAAGAACGATGTTGACATAATTGATATTGTAAACGTAGGTTGTATTAACAGAAATTTATTAAGGTCTTCCGTTTCAACGGAAGACCTTCTTATTATTCTGTTGTTTCTTTTCAACTTTTTAAGGTCTTCCGTCTTCACGGAAGACCTTATAGTGATTCTATTGTTTCTTATTAAGGTCTTCCGTCTTCACGGAAGACCTTATAGTGATTCTATTGTTTCTTATTATTATTATTATTATTATTTTTTTGACTTTCTAATTTTGTGCACGCGATTTCTCAAAAACTACTGGATGAAATTACATGAAATTTTCAGGACAGATGTGTTGTAACATGAATTTATAATATCCGAGCAAAAATTTGAAAACTCACTTCCGGTGCCAAGTTACGGACAATTTCCTGAAATTAAAATGACATTTTGTCCACGATATAACTTTAAAACGGTAAGAGATATCAAAGTGAAACTTTCAGGGATTGTAGATCGTGATAGATACTAGCCAGGACGCGACCTTTCTTTCGTCGTCAATACTTCCTGTCGTTAGGATATGCAAATTGAAAAAAACGTATTTTTTAACTTTTTTGTTTTCCAATATTTTTCATTCATTTTGGGAATATTAATAGTGACTCTTCTATAGATGCTTACTATATAATTTGTTTGAACATTGGTTAATCTGAACTTTAGATATTAATATTTGAAAATCTGAAGCGGGCCCAAGATGGCGGCCGTCTCTGTCAAGTCCGCCATTTCGCGAGTAGGGGCTTATGGAGTCAGTTGAGCGTTTGACTAAATGATACTTGGAAAGTAAAAAAACTACGTGGACTTTCACTTATTAGTACGCTGCAATTCAGTGACAATCTTAAAACTTAACTTCCGTTTACTGCTTTAGTGT